CCTGTAGACACATTATGCTTTATTGAAGATGGATTGATAATGTAGACTTAAAAGACGTATACTGCTAGTACCTGAAATTATACATTGATAACCTATAAAAGCTTGTACTCAAGAAAAAAGAAAATGTAAAAATGGAGGCAGAAGCGGGAGCAGGGGAAATAGGATTGTGGAAATCTATTGCTCCTCCAGAAGTATTGTTAACCATGAGATTTAGTTTTCTGAGTGTGTACCATGAAACAACACATCAAAAAGAAGACAAAACTTTTTTTACTAGGTTTGGTTTTGTCGCAGCTATGTCAAAAATTGTCTTGGTTTGCCTAAATGCTGGAAAGCCCTTCATTGTCTTTATAATAATTAAGACAAAAGGTACTGGTTAGTGTGGTACTATGTATTAAAAGGATTTTGTTACGCTTCATTCTCTGTCCATCTTAATAACACATTATTTCAGTTCAGGCCATTATTTCTGTTGTAAGATGTTCTTCCTAATTTCTTTAATTCAGTATTTATTTTTTGATGTCATTTCATTAAAATCATCTTTCACATCGATAAAGTGTGTTTCAGGCTTCTGGTAATGATTTTGGTTTGTGTGTTCACTAGAAACGTTGCTGTATTAAGGCTTCTCCCTGCCAAATCACCTGGCCTTCTGTGGGCCACTGGGATTATCAAAAACATTAACAATGGTGACTTCAGCTGGAGTTTGAATTCAGTTCTAGGCATGTAATATAGGAACAGGGCTTCTTACATACACTCTACTCCTTACTTTGTATTGGTTTTGGAGAACCTGTTATTTAGCAGCTACATGTGCTGAAGAGAACTGCAGTTTTTTATTTCTGTAATGAAAAACCAAGGTACATCATACTGATGGGCTTTTTGATTGAAAAACCTGTGGAAGGGCTGTGACTGGAAGGTAACTAGAAAAAGGGTAAACCTGCTGATCCTGTAAAACGCTAAGTAGAGTACCTAGATAAGAGGGTGAGTTGTGCATGCAAAACTTACTGTTCGTGAAAAATTGCTGTTGCAAATCTATGTTACTTATCATTTACATTTTTTAGGTTCCAGGAAACCTATTTCACAATATGATCTGAAAGCTGTAACCAATGATGTGACCAATGCAGGAAACAGAACTATAACTTTTATGATTGTAACTTCCCCAAAACTTGGAAGGCTGATCAGAGTAAATTCTGATAATACCGCTCAGGAAATCCTCAGTTTTACACAGTCTATGGTAAGCATTTACTTTATAATAACTAGTTCAGGAGCAGATTGGTGCTTAAAGGGACATCTCAGCTGCTTCTTCTTTGCCTGATCCGTTTGTATCTGTTAAGTAACCAGGCATATGTGACCCATTAGTGCAATCACCCAGATTTGCTGTGTCATTAAATATCTGGCATCTAGTAATGAATGCAAGAGGAGCCTTTTTCCCCCTCTGCTTGGATGCTAGCAGGGTCTTGGCAATTTCCACTGTTTTGCTTGTAACTGTTTTTCAAGAAGAGCTGTTCTGGTGCCATTAACCAGCAGTCCAAGGTTGGAAGCCTTCAGTTTTTGGCAGAAGGAATAGCCTTTTGCTCTATTGAAAGTCCAAGTGTCAGATTCATTTCAGCTGTACACAGTGCTCATGGGTGTCCCCAAGAGGACTTTTATTGACTTGATTGTCTGTGATATTAAGTGTTTAAAGAATCTTAACTGTGATACAGGGTCTCATACTTGATTGAGTAAAACGTGGCAGCTCATGTAGCTTGATGGAAAACATTCTTTTGCAACTGAAAAGAAATTACTTATGTCTGTGCAGAATCCAAGTATAACTGTGTGCTCTGTGTGCAGTAAGTTATTCTCGGAAAATCTTAAGCTGGGGAGATAAAAGGAGCTCAATCTCTTGACTTTTCTGGAGGACAAATTAAGAGATAATTTGTTTTTATCTACATCTACAGATTTTTAAAAGTGGCTGTTTGATTTGCTGTATGAATGAATGAGAAAATCTATTGGCCAGAAATTGAAACTTGACCAATAAAACCTGGAAAAAAGTTTGACATTTTTATTAGTTATCATCAAACTTTGAAACAACTTGACCAAGGACTGTAGTGGAATGAAACTCTAGTTGAACTTTATAAATCAAGATGAACACAGAATGTTTCTCTTAAAACGTATATTCTAATCCCTTTGTGTTATTGGTCTTGTTGCAATAGTTGCTGAGTTTCATCTTACATTATGAGAGACATGAATTGTATAATGACACTGTTATCTTCTATTCCAAAAATGTGTGATTTTTATGAGCATTAGATGAAACAGTTAAGCATGTCAGACAGAAAATTTTTCAGCTAAGGTTTTGAAGTTTTATTTTTTTTCCTATGCATACAATCTTCATAGGGGTTTTATCAGACAGTACCATGTCAGAACATGCCACTTGTTGTCTATAGCTTTAGTTCTTACTAAGGTATAGCTAATTTTCCTTTGAACTTTGTAGATTGTGTAAGGATTTGAGCTGTAATAATGCATATGCTTTTCTTTTCTATCAGAGGTATTTGTGTTGGCCATTTTCACTTCAAAGAAGGAGAGCTAAGTGACTTATTGCAGGTAGAATTAAGGTATCCTAACCAGGCTGCTCTTTATGCTTGTAGAGAATGAGGTATAAGGGAGAGAAAAGAGATACTAAATAAACTTTCACTGTCTAGCATGTTATAGCCACATGAAGTTAAGCATCAGTGAGAAAATGACATTGATATTACAAACATTGTATATTCTCCATGTAATGGAGAATAAGACATTCAATTTCTGTTAGGTAATAAGAAGCTTGTAAATCTGATTTGAACTGAAATATTTTGTGTTAGTTTAGTTCTTTGAGTTTTCATTGAGTTCATTCTGTATTGTGGAACTTAAAATTTCACTTCTGAAAAGTACTATGCAGCTGGCTTATAAGAGTAGTTAGCACTTTTGCTATGGTGCTGAACTCTTGCCTATGTCCTGTGGTTTGTTGCTTCATTGCCAAAATAAAAAATAAAAAAAAAAAGAAAAAAAAGAAAAAAAAAAGAAAAAAAAGAGTTTAAATCACTCTTGCATTCCAATAAATTTTTTTATGGTCAGTTATTGTTCAGACAATATAAGAAAACTAATTGCACATTAAACACACTTGAATAACACAGTAGTTTTCAACATGATATTTGGGATTTTTCTGTGTCAGTACTTTCTATGGTGTCTTCCAGCAAGCCACAATTTCTGCATTATATTTGAAGTAATTGCAGAGGTAAACACAGAAATCCTCACCAATTCCATCTTCCTCTAAGCCCAGATATTGCCATGGGCTTCCAATTGAAAAAAAATATAACCCTAGTAAGATGCTAAACACCATTGAATTTAAAGGATGCATATTATGCTTGTTCTTGTCACAACAATTTGCTTTCTCCAACTTGAAGCCCTAGAGGCGTGCTTTGGAAAGTTATCGTGAACCAACATATCCTTTTATTATCAATTTTGTTTGTTTTTTTCTATGATAGCCATTAAGAATTACATCAGTATAGGGAAAGCATAAACCTGTAGTTGTGCATATAGGATTTTACCACATCAGTCTGAATTTTTTAGACAATAAGATGGGATGGTTTTGAGGCTGCTGAGAAAACTGACTCTGAAAACCCTGTTTCCCTAGTGATCTCAGTGGGGGCTCTTGCAGTGATTTTAGGATTAGTGCACGCTATATTCACTGCTCTGATTCTGTAGTGCCAAAGTGCTTCATCTGTGGTAGTAGCAGGAGGTTTTTTGTTTTCTTTTTTCACACCTTTCAAGCATATGTGATGGGAATGTGTGCTAATGAGTTCCTTCAGGGTGTTTGCAAACTATGTAGAGTACGTTACAAATAGTAAGCCTAGAAGTGGCACCATCTCAGACAGAGATCTCTTTGATCATTATAAACTAACACGTGCAACGCAGGTCAGTAGTTGCGTGGGAAGTTACCAAGGAATTAATAGGTATAGCTGTCTTCTCTCCAGGTCAGTGAATGAATAAACAAGCAGACCAGACACTGAATCTACTGGATGAGATTTAGTAAGTGTTTTAGTCTTCTGGTTATCCTGTTGTAGTTTCAATGTATTACGGTATTGATTTTCAAGTTCGAGTGTAGTTCCAACTGATGAGAATCCTAGTCTGAAAATATTGCTTGTTGCTTTTGGGCCTAAAGAGATAAATGGTTGTCTCTTTTATAAATTTGTGTTTCTTTGAAGATTTATTGCCGTATTCTGCCTTGAAGCTTAAATCCTCATGGTGGGACTGATAGGATTCCCTTGAGTATGATAATCTGCAAGGTCAGTGAAAGCAGGTATAGGGCAAGCCAGGTTCCTTCCTGATGCTTAGGAATACACTTCTTGCTGTGATGTAGAAATTTTCCACCACATAATCCCATCCGCTCTTTGGCTATAAATGAGAGTATATTTCAATGGTCATTGCACCTCCTTCCAGTATCCATAGTCTCTTACCAAATATCTTTTGCTGTTCACCATGAAAAACCTCATCAAAGTCCTTTTCGAGCCTTCAGTCCTTCATATGCTTTTTCAGGACAATGAGTCCAGCCCTGCGGGTATCCTTATAAAGAAAAAATCCAGAACGTATGATACTCCTATTCACTAGCAGTACAGTCCAGGTGAGCTCCTGTTCACCATTACCATTGCTAGTTTGAGATAAGTTTCTCAAAGTTTTGTATATCTGTTCCTCACATAAGGCCCTTACTAAGCATTCACGCCCAGTAACATTTCACGTTCCTTCAAGTATATTTGTCTGGCAACACAGAGCCCATCTTCAGAGAAAGCGAAATGCAAGATAATTAAGTTAGATATACACTGTGCATGGACTAAGTTACAAAGGCCCCTCTTGAACAATGTTCTTAAGAGGTTTTTTTCTCTCTCTTTACACTGCTGTGTTTAAAATTATTCACCTCTTATACCTATGGCTTTTCTTTACCCTAAACAGGTGGATGAAGGTGTGATCATGTATGAGCACTTACATGCTGAGTCAGCTGACTGGAGTGCAGAAGATTTCTTTACATTTACTGTCTTCTCTGCACCATCAGCTTTGGACCTCCAGGTGTTCTATATTGTCATTTCATATGAAATTACCAGGCATGATAAGAACAGTCGTCTTCTGGCAAATACAGGTAATGATGCTGTGCTGCTTGGGCTCCATATTATTTTGAATCTATCAGGGCTCCAAAGAGCAGATGTGAAAAAACAAAGACTACTTCCTCTTCAGTAACAAATGACCAGAATACTTTTGTTGCAGAGTGTAGTGTAGATAGTCGCTTGGAAAACTGCATCACTGCATTTTTAAAAATTAGATTTCCTACCTATGTTTGACCCTTACTACTGCTGTAGTGGGTATTCTCCATTTTGCTGTAAACAGTAGGTGAAAACTCTGTCAGAAGCTTAGAGATACTGATATTTCTTTAATCTTAATGTATGTATCAATTGAAAATCTTATCTCTTGTATGTGACTGTATTTTTAAAATAGTGGTAAAGTATTTTTAGCCATGACATATGGAAATCAAGGATACCATGAACGAGAATCTTCTTTGAGCATCATCAGTGTTTGATATCTAATTTTGGAAACATTGCAATTGTAAAATACTCAATCTCTAAGATTCTCTTTTCCTTTCTGCTAGGTGCCATAGTCCAGGAAGGAGGTAGAGTATTAATCAACAAGACAAATTTAGATGCTTCAAATCTATTGGTTAAGCTGCCTGAGGTACAGCGTTCCATGTATGAAGTCTGGTATCAAGTTGTATCTTTACCTCAACATGGCGTGATTGTTGTTGGAGAAAGAAACGTTACCAAAGAAAAACCTAACTTCTCCCAACACATACTTAACAAATTTGGAATTGTGTATGTACACGATAATTCTGAATCACTTAATGACAATTTCACTTTTGCTGTTTGGTTAAACCTAAAGAGCAAGTCTGCAACAAAGCCCAATAGTGAAGTTTTAGAGGAGATGTTTAATATCACTGTTGTTCCAGTGAATGACCAAGCTCCAGAACTGAAGACTAAAAGGCTGCACTTGAGAGTCCTACAAGGAGATGTGTCAGTGCTGGGGTCAGAGAATCTGAAAGTTGAAGATCTAGATAATACCCCAGCCGAGCTCAAATACACAGTTGTTAGCAACCCCAATAATGGTTATTTAGCAATGAAAAGCAATCTCAGTGTCTCTATAAGGGATTTCACACAAGCTGATGTTGACAATGGTAAAGTCTGGTTTGTACAGGATGGAAGTTCATTTTCCGGGGTGTTTTATTTCAGCGTGACTGATGGTAAACATCAACCTTTATACAAACTATTCAGTCTTGAAGTCATACCAATTGGTCTTGACCTGGTCAACCTCACCAATGTTGCACTTCCACAGGGCCAGACATCTGTCACTATTACTAATGTGCAGCTTTCCGCTGTCACAAATGGAAAAAGCACTAATATAATGTATGAAATAACTCAGCCACTCAAATACGGGCACTTGATGCTTGGAACTGAGCAGGTAACTAAATTTGAGCAGGCAGATTTGTACTCAGGAAGGCTGTCTTACCACCTGACAAATCTCACTGCATCCAAAGAAGTAGTGGAGTTTATGCTCTTCACTGCAGAAAGCAATCTAACAGGACAAGTGCTGAACATCACAGTGAAGCCTTTAGTACGAGTTGTATCTGACATGCAGATACCAAATCAAGCAGCTTATAAGTTCAGTAGCAGTGATCTGGATGCTTCTGAGCTAGCTAATTTGACAGATAGTAATCCTAGATTTGAAGTGATAGTACCTCCATCTCACGGAAGAATTGTAAAGAAAAGGTTTGTGAATGATGCAGCATTTGAAGATATTCAGACGTTCACTCAGGCTGACATTGATAGTGGTGTTGTGCTTCTAGACATAGATACGAATATGACGGGCACTGATCTGTTAAATGACTCATTCATGTTTATACTCAAGGCAGATGCTGTGCAGCCTGCTGTCGGCTGTTTTCAGTATTCCATCGTGCCGTACAGTCCTCCACTTGCTCAGGGTGTTACAGCCGAAATGCCTTCCATAACCAGCACTACCACTTTAAGGATTCACACTACCTCAAAGGATGAGGCACCAGCCTCCCCTCAGAACGAAGAGCCTGCAGTAGCACTGCAGAAGACTGGGCCAACCATGTGGCCAGGGCAGAATCGCTGGGGAAATCTGCATGAGGAAGGTCCATTGCTAAATCTGGCAATGGGAACAAGGGGATCAGCAGGGACTAAGACCACAACCCAGGTTAATGCCAGGAGTCCCAGAGAGCAAGCAGGTGAAAGCAGCAACCCTTGGTACGTCGTTATCCCTCTGGTCCTGGTGTCTGTGCTACTCATTGTTGCTGTTATTTCTGTGTGCATTTTCCTCGTGTGTCAGAAGAAAGAGAAGACAAAAATGCATGTCAAAAGTCAAACAGATGCAGTCCTCAGTAGTCCAGGTCAGTGTCTGGAACGGAGCTTGACTGTACCCAGTGTTACAGTGACTCCTCTCCTGAAGGGGGTTGAGAGAAGTACAACCTCAGTGTTCATGGCAGCAAGACATGAACAGCTGCTTCCTGCAGTGGTTTCTCCGACTGTAGAGCAGTCTCTGCAAAACAGCTGGTTAAACCTTGATCCTGAAATGATCCAGTATTGTCGAAAAACAAACCCAACCTTGAAGCGCAATCAATACTGGGTGTAGTTATGTCCAGTTTTGGTCATACTAATTGATGTAGTATGGAAGAGAGAGTATACATGGTTGACATATAATTTGTTCTTTAATACCCTTATTTATTATAGATCAAATGATGCACTGTTTGTTAGACAAAATCAAAATACCTGTGAAGTAATAATAATAAAAATCTTACTAATTACAGTGGCCATAAAATAGGATTTCCAGTTGGTACTTCAGCAAATTTCCCACTTAATTCCATGCAGAATTTAACCCCATAGATTTTGAGTGCAACCTGTGTATGCAATATCTTTTATTTCCATGACAGGTGTAAAACAGAGTGTTCTGTCATGGATTATATCTTTTAAATATAATTACTTTTTTTTAAGGACCAAGTTTACTGTAAAGGTCTTGTATTCTTTCCTGAACCACCATTTCTATTTGAAGAACTTTCGACTGTTTCTGTAAGAGAGTGCCAAGGTGCTAATCTCAATAATTTTGACCTGAAGGCTGTTCAGAGGCCAATACTGAAGAAACAAAGCTGTGATTATTTTAGTAGTTGTTCATCTGGGTTGCTAAACTGGAAATCTAGAATTCAACTCGGCAACAATAGTACAGCAGTGACAGTATGTAAGGATCCTGGTAAAATACTCTTACTGCTAGGTGCTGTTTGTTCTTTTGTTTTTCTTTTTCCTCATTTGATACCAAACTCTAGCCTTTAATGTCTGCTGACTGGTAAAATGCATCCATGACCTCTAATCCACATAGCAAAAATTGTGTATCTGCCAGTCAGCCTGTCTGCTGAATTATCTTTAGGCTTAGGCTATGTCTGGAAGTGCATATCGGGATTTGCTGCTCCTGACAAAGGGCTAAATTCTGCCTTCAAATGAAGCAGACACAACTCTCTCTGGAGTCTGAGTGTTCAAGCAGATGACAATAGAATCAAGTACTCTGCTGCATACTACCGTGTGTTGTGGAGCTATTGACAGAAACAATCCTGTGAGGAAGTACATATCCCCTTCTGAAGTTTCACAATTTACCCTTCAACTCCTAGAACCCTGAACACATGTGCCTTACATACTATCTAAAAAGTACTACCTACTCTTAATTTTGCTCTGGTGTTAAAAAGCGCAATAATTTATCTGCAAAGGGAATATTTTTGTATTTTTGGAAATCCAAGCTCAAGTGATGTGCAGTCTCCTGTTAAAGTCCAGCCTTTCTTCCACTGAGCACAACAGCAAAATTCTTGCTGACTTCAGAGAATGAACTGACTTCAGGGGAATGGTGCTGTGCTCTTAACCAGTGTCGTACTAACCGCTGAACTTCTGATCTACTTTTGTGCTGTTAAAGCTTCCAGTTAGCTTCTCAAAAACACCGTGCTCAGTGTCAGGATGCAGTCTCAGCTCTGCACTCCACTAGGATAACATTTTTGTTTGAGCTTAGGTACTACAGGTTTTGCTTTTATAGAACAGATGTATGAGCCTAGCATCTGTTGGTGCTATTCATTTCACACTACTATTTTGGATGTTTTTTTGTTACTATTGTTGATGATTAACTGTGTTTCTGTAATTTTTGTATTTCAATTGTGGGAAATTTTCATCCATGAGGAGAACCACACTAAGTCTTCACTTACTGCTGTGTTCTGGGGACTAAACACAGGAGCAGTGGAGGCAGTCTTTCTCATCTTTACCTCCTCTGCCATGGTCAGCTGTGATCGTGCATTTTGCAAGCATTGCATTCTTCAGAGCCCATTTCAAGGAGAGTAGTCCATGCCAGTGGAAAATATATGAGCCCCATTTTCAGATGGTCAAGTGAGTGGACCAGGGTGGACTAAAGATATGAACCCATTATATTCTCAAACTAAAATGTATTTGAACCTTGATACACAGTTTTTATTTTTCTGTCATTACCATTTTCCCCTGATGCCAGTGTGAGCAGGTTTGGATTCAAGCAGTACGGTCAGTGTAAAAGGCTGGGCTGTTCAGCTGTCCTTGATGAACCACTGCAAATCTGCATCATAGACCTTTTCTGCTTTTCCAAGGAAAATCTTTGGGGCTGTTTATAGACACCGTCAGCTGGAGAGGTGGTGCTGCCAGCCATTGCAAGGACACCCCCGCGTCCTTCATGGAACTGCAGCTGTACGTCTCTTGCCATTTTGTGAAATCTCTTCTGCTAACAGCAAGCACACAGCAGCTTCCTCCATCCAGATTCCAGCTGTCAGCAGAGCATTTGCTGCAGCCTGCCTCCAGTGCCTTCTAGCCGGTAGCAGGAACCTGATCACTTTACACCTCCTCCAAGGCCTCACTCCATGAAGGAGTAAAGAATTATAATCTAACACTTTCCTGACACTTAAAGAAGCCTGTCTTGCATTTCCTTACTGCTGAGATAATTGTGGCAAGAGCAGAAGAGACATCATACTCCAGTACCCATCAGGAGACCAAGCGATAGGCCTCCAGTTTGGTACCAAAATATTGCAGTGATGAAGGCTGCTGGAGTCTGTTGACAAAATCTGTACTGTTTACCCGTGACAGGCTGAACAGAAATATGGAAGTGAAATGTGTGCTTAATGAAATTTTGCTAAACGTGTCATCATAAAGACAGGTGTGCCTAAGGTTGCAGTGCTCATTGTGCAGTGGCGATGGAACGTAGGGGCTGCTGTAGTGCTGGTGATGGTAAAAAGTGAGACCACAGTGTAATAGCAACTCAGTCAAGAGAACAGCAATGCAATTGGAGCTCCTCAATTGAATGGGCATTCTTGAGTTTCAGCATTTGCATGCTCTGAGCAAAAAATCACACATAAAAATACAGAAACGGTGGTAGAATTTGTGCTGGCTTTTTCTGGCTTCAGCATAATGGGCTGAACTCTTGTTCTCTGTTTCATAAATGCTTTTGGCTAACAGCAGATTTTCATTTCAAGTTGATCAAGCGTTATGGAATTGTATTCTGAGCATTGATGTAAATTTTTAAAGTATTGAGACTTTTGTTTATTTGCTTTTTTGGGTTTTTTAAAATAAAACAGCCTAAATGCCTAATTCATCAGTGAAGTGTGCCAGCATTCAGTTTCCTTCCTTGGTGCTACTGTGAGACAACCGTGGCAAAATGTGTGCCATATTATGGAATGTTTTGATGAGAACTTTGTGTGGGTATAAGTATATTGTATCAGTGATTACTGAGTTTCACACAAAATGCAGAGGTAATATCGTAACTGAAAACTACATATGGATTTTGCTTTAATGTCCTACCCTGAATCCCCAGTAAAAAACCCAAAAAACCCAAAAAACAAAACCAAAACCTGATTGCATTAATGTAGGCTTTCACTGTGGGCAATACAGAATAGTCTCTGGCAGTGGACAGTTCAACTTATTCTTCCATAGATGTTTAACAGAGGTGAGAGAAGTCAGCTTTGTGTGAGCTGAGGTCACTGGCTTAGCTAGAAGTCCAGCTTTGAGATGGCAAAAACTCGCTGCGTTTCCTAAATAATGATCAATCTAGAAAATCCTCAAGAAAAATATTTTGTACTTATGGAGTCTTTTTGTTATTCCAGACACATACGTGGCTTATGGTCAAGATTAATTTTTTGTTTGTTTCACTTAACCTTGAAGTTGTTGTGTTTTATTTAGTGAAGATGGGGTTTAAGAAGGATTCCCCTTCTTACTAAAAGGAGTTCTAAACTGCACCATGAAAGTGCCTTGAAAACATAGATGCAATCAATAAATTGTTTTGTTTATAATCCACACACTTCTGTTTTTGTGTGCTTTCTTCAAAGACCTGTAAAGTCCTGCAGTCGGTGCAGAAACACAACAGGATCCCACTGCCAGTAACAGCGTTTTTCCACATTTTCCGATGGTTATTTTTTTAACTTGTGCATGTGCTCTTATCACTTGCAGTGCTGTGCCCAGCATTGTGCCTCTAACACAGTGCAGATGGCAGGAAAAGGAGAGCATCACAGAATCACGATCACGCATCTACCTGACTGTGTTCAGCACTTGCACAAAAGTAACATCAAAACAAATGCATTGATTTGAACTTGTTCAAACAGGACTGCACTGGATTAGTTCAATACATTTTTCTGTTACTTAAGTGCGCAAGCTTAGAAGATTTTAAAATATCAAATTTGTAGATGTTAGTACATTAGTTCTGTGTGTCTCTAAAGTTTGTCAGCTTATCTTTTATTCTTGATCAAAACCACACACTCCTGACAGTCTCACACCAAATGCATTGTTCAACCAGATTCTCCTTTTTTGTTAATCAGAATTTAGCTGGTTTGTAGTTGTTCCTATAACTTGAGATAAGGAACTTTTTTGTTGAGACATCAGCCATGCTGCTGGCCCAGGGGAGCAGCTTCCCCTGCACCATGACTCAGCGTCCCGAGCGCAGAAATCTGTGTCAGCAGGAGCAGCGCTCGATCTTGGGGCTGTGCCCCCTCCTGCAGCCCTCCTACAACTCAGAAAATGTTGGTTTGGAAAGAAATGAGCATAGGACAGAAATGGTCATAAGCCGTTTATGTTTTTCTTCTTGTAAAAATATTAGTAAAGGCCAGCTACGGTTTTCGCTGCAGTAGCTTGTTAACTACCTGCAAGGCCAAATGCAGCAGTGGATCTGCTTGCATGTCCTGAGCTAGATCCTCCGTCCTGCTTGCACCATTTTTTTCAAGTCAGTCCTTGTGATGTTATGTTGAAGTACATTCTGTGAATATTTTTAAATGGGCTGAAAATAATTGTCCTGGCATATTCAATGGAAACTCTATTAATTTATCTTCACTCGTTTCAAGCTAAATAATTCCTGCCAGAGCTTGCATATCCCACATGCAGTCCCAGAACAAAATGTTCTTTCATTGCAACTGGTGAAATCCATAGTTTCACATCTGTTTGTAGAGAGACTCTGTGTGGTGAAATGCTTGCTTTAGTTGATCGTTTCCTCATTTCCAGTCTTCCTGCTTGGTTATTTTTTGTGGTAATTCTTTATACATGCTGGTAACCACTACATAGACATGAAGTTGTTCACAGACTGAGGTTTTAGCTGCAAAACCT